CAAGTTTGTACCCTCGCTTTGATGTATTAATTTGGAAAGTCTTATATATTTGAAACAATTCATGTGAGTTTGTTATTGGGAATGAAAATTTCATTTCAAAAATAATTATTTTTTTCCCATATTTGAAATGGGATTATAAGAGGACTCTATAGAACATTGCTGCTAACGGTAGTTTCATTAGCTTTCGCAGGCTGTGGTTAATAACTAGCTAGTTTGTTTTGTGGGCTTTGTCCTCACGTTTGTTATTTGTGGGCTTCATACCCATGTTTGGTTTTCATGGCTTTGAGTCACATTTGGTTTTTTTACCCTAATGGATTATGTGTCCACGTTTGTTTCGTAACTCAAGCTGCATATGGTTATTTACCCCTGTGGACTGTGTATCCACGTTTATTTTCGTGGCATAAGCCGCGTTTGGTTATTTTACCCTCGTGGAATGTGTGTCCATGTTTGTTTCCTGTTTTGTTAAATTCTCACAATCTTAAATTTGAACAAATTTATGCATTTGAAATTTTAATGGTTTCAATTGTTAGTATGTTATTTTGATCCACATATGTATAAATTATCTTTTTTTTTTGCTTCTACCATGAAGATATAAAGTGTTTTCAGTTTAATCTCATTTTGATGGTTATACTTAAAAATTTATAAAGTTATTGAGTATATTATATTAAATTCTCATCCATCCAACTAATTTACAAAATTGGTTGAATTTATTATTTTAAATTCTATCTTTAGAGATGCTATTCACTGAAAAATTTATTTTGATCTCAAATTGTTATTTGACACTGATCCCATTGCTAACCTCTAAAGGGCAATACAACTGTATTGGGTGAAAATTTTATTTGGTACTGTTATTTTTTTATGTAAATATTTAAATCTTATATATTTTAATTTAGAAGAAAAATTAGTTGCCCCATATAGATTGTTGTCATAAATTTATTTTGATTCATATATTGTTTGCTGGCTGGAAGGAGCTGAGCTCCTGATTTAGTTGATGTTTTGACTAAATCAGTGTATTTTAGAAATTTAGGAGATTCTATTTATAGGTGAGATTCTGTCAAAATTCCTACAAAAACATTAAAGCCTTGTTATGATAATTAATATCAAAAGTGTTATAATTTCTATATAATTTGATTATTTTTTAGAAAAAAAATGAATTTCATTTTGAGACTTACAGGAATGCACAAAGTAATTCGCTCCCGTGCCGGTCACCCTTTATTTTTAGGGCGTGACATCATGCCCACTTGGTCACAATGGACCACCTACTATGAACGTGAGAGAGAATTCATCAAGTGTGAGTGGGACATGTTGGGTTGCACCCTTGATGAATTAGGCCAAGTGAGTGAGGGCCCAAGTTGGGTTAAATAATTATTTTTCATTATCTTATGGGTGGTTACCAGAGTATTTTTGAGGGGGTAGTTATTTGTTTTAAATAAACAAAATAACTACCCATTATCTATGAGTGAGATATTGGGTAATCTAATATAACATACAATTATTTTAGTTTTACTCTCCTCTCTAGAAAAGTAAAAACAAGAGTGTTCTCTCAATCTACCTCTCTCCCTCTTCACTCCCAAGAAAGTTGTAGTGCGTCTACTATGTATCAAACATCCAAATCCATCATTATGGTCGGGTTACCATGAGGCAGAAATAAGGTTGAGCATTGCTATCAGAGTTACTATAATCAGAGTCCACGAAGGTATGTTTCTGCACTCCATTCTCTTCAGGTCCAAATCCAAATAAAATTACCATTGATCCAAACATGCCATTAAGTATTTCTATGATTGTAAAATATGCTTTGAGAAATATAAATTAAGGTCATGGTTGGCAGAATGAGTTTTCAAACTAGTAATCATTTCCAATCAAATAAACCTTGTGGTTATAAAGTGGTGTTTGTTTTTTGTGGAAAAGTTGTATTAGAAAATTTCAAATAAATGTCTTTTCCTTGGAGATGGTTTTCAGAGCTTTCAATTGAGCCAAGGATCACCTAAATATGATGTTGCCTAAGGTTTAATTTATGAATTTATAAAGTTACTGTAAAATACAAAAGCCAACAAATAGATAGTAATTAAAAATATTATATTTTTAATAAAATCTTATTAAAATATTATAATTTATATTTAATAATTTAAATAGTATTATTACTTAAAAAGTTTTTTAGACATAACTTTCAAGTCAACTTTGAAGATATACAAATTTCTAAAAGAGGACTTGTAAATTTTGAAGGATGACATATAATTTATCACATTATTTTAATTTACAATTCAATTAGGATGAAAAACACGTTCACTTATAAATTTTAGAAATACTAGTTGAGCTAATTCTTATAAGAGAATTTATAAATGGGAGAATCTCATCCAGGGCCCCTAGGTGAGAAAAAATTGCATTTAGATCCCAATGTATTTTGAAATAATTCTGTAGGCTGAAGGGCCCTTTTCATAAATATGTTTTATGATAAAAAGATACAATTGCCCTTCATGAAAAAAGGCAACAAATACAAGTTTATATTTTTACAACTACATGTTCATGAATTCACAACTTTAAGTTCACATAGTAACAAGTAATTATCGATTGGAAGTGAAATTCTTGTTTAGAGTTAATATGTTCGTCTTGGCCAACTTAATAAATTTACAACTTAAAATTTAAATATTCAAAAGTATAGGTTCATCTATTCACAAAGTCAATATCCAGAATTTATGACTTCACATATTCAAAACTAAGGTTCATAGTGATAGCAAGTTTAGATTTTTACAACTATATATTCACCAATTCACAAATTTAGGTTCACATACTAACAAGTAATTGTTTATTGTAATGAAATTCTTGTTCAAGGTTAATTGACAAGTTTTTCTTGGCTAACTTAATAAATTTACAATTTAAAATTTGAATATTCACAAGTAAAAGTTGATCTACTCACAAATCAAAGTACAAAATTTATAACTTCATATATTCAAAACTAAATTTCATCATTACAGCAAGTTTAGATTTTTACAACTAGATATTCTTAAATTCACAACTTTATGTTCACATATTAATAAGTAATTATTCATTGGTAGTGAACCTAAAGTTCTTTCTTTCTCACTAATGGCAATTGTGTCTTTTCTCCCAAAAATATATTTGACAAAAGGGTCATTGGGCTTGTAGAATAAATTCAGAATGCATTGGGCCCTAAGTGCAATTTTTTTGTGCTTGGGGGCCCTAGATGAAATGCTCTTTTTATAAATTTTAGGGAATATTTTATAAATAATAATATTTAAATTATTAAATATTAAAATATATAATATTTTAATAGCATGTCATTAAAACAGATATAATATCTTTTTAATTACATATCAGTATTTATCATATTAGTAATCCAATAACCACTGGGCAGCTGGTCACAGTAGTTTGTTAAAATCATAATTTTTTTTATTTTATATGGGTAAGAAATAATGTTAATCTATTGGGATTTAATTATTTGTAATTTATGGGACTTAATCAGTATGATGGCTTTTTCTATAATTTTTGGGTTATTTTCTATATTTTTTCTAGTCTTTCTATGTAATATTTTAGGTCAATGGTCAAATTAATGAGTATTGAACAGAGGGGTGACATTACTCTATTATTAATACATAAGAGGCAACATTATGTCACCCTTGACTTGAGAGTGTCTAGTGTTTAGGGGTAAATTTGTTCTTTAACCCTAGCTATTATGTTTACGTTGCAATTTGGTTTATGTGATATCAAATGGTACAAAGAACTAAAGAAGGGAATAGAGAATTGGAGAAGCATTGGGTGATTTTGGGAGACTTGAAGTTGTATAGTGTGACATTGGTCTGCCATTGTGATAAAAGGGGTCATATTTTTTCAAAGTTCTTATAGGTATGGTGAATGCCACATTTGCAGGTCCATTGTGGATATTCAAAGTGGGGCCGGCAAGCATTTTTGGATGGTTTGAATTGAGTTAATTTGTAATTTTTAGCAAATATAATAAACATACACAAGATTGATTTAATTTTGAGTTGTATCGCATTAGTAATAAATTTTTAAATCAATTTTTTGCAAATATACAAATTTTCATAAATGTGAAGTCATAGCTTGAAGCCTCCATTGATGGTCTCTTCTGTAGTTGCTATTGCTAGGACCTAATAATTACTTTCCAGTTAACTTCAAAGAAGAGGAGGAAAAAAGACTTGCATAATGGAATGATGCTCAATAGTGCATATCCCAATATATGGGGAGAGTATTCTTTAATGGCCAACCAAGTCCTTACAAAAACCTTTAGGTATGCCCAACATATAATATATATATATATATATATATAAATCTATATCTCATAAAAAGTCATTTGGAGAATGTGTGACTCAAATCTCGAAGGGATGACAGAAAAAAATTATTTAATTACTCCAACATAATAAAATTTAAGTGGGTTTTCCTCTAGTAACAAGATATGTTTCCAAAAATATAAACAAAGGATACGTAGAGAAGAATAAGAAAAATGTAGGGCTCATTAGATTAATTTAGAAAACATTTTCTTATAAAATCAAATCCAAACTGTATAGAATTACTTGAAGAAAAGGAATGGACTTTGAGGTATTAAGTACTCAAAACCAAAATGTTAAAAGAGAAAAGAAACAACATGAAGAAATCCCAAAGTCTTATAATCAAGAAAATTTCAAATACTTTGTATATTATTACAGCACATGGAGTGACTCCAATTTACAAGATTACTTGTTCCAAAAAGAAATCTAAGGGCTGAAGAAACAATAGCTAAAATTTGATTTACCTATTATTCAACTAGTAGGGTCCCTAACATTTTCTTGAAACGAAGCCTTGATTTTTTTGAATGATGCTACAACATCAGGCATAGTAACTCATGTCTCAGGTAAATCAATGCAACAATTTAATGCTAACTCAAAAATTGATAATATATGTGGTAATATATTATTAGTATTTTGATTTTCATTGTGCAGCAAATTGGCATCTATAATGTTGATGATTGAATGTGGTGTTGATTTTCTCACCCAATCTTTCAAACTTAATCCTTGAACAAACATCTCATCTGTCGGCTTCTTCCTTGTAAAGATTTCCATTAGCAAAATACCATAATTATACATGTTTCCTTTGATAGAAACAACTCCTTTTGATCCATACTCTGTTATGCCAATTTCAACAATTAGTATAGAAGTCATGATTTCAAAAACAGTATATAAGATATGGTTAAACTTTACTTTTGTATCATCAATTCAAATATTTACACATGAAGATATACAAATCAAATAATATAAAATTTTATAAAGCATAACAAACAAAAGGACATATAAATAAATCTAAAAAATATTATTAAACCATTACCTGGTGCCATATAGCCAATTGTAGCCAAAGTTTTTGTATAAATTTCTAGTTGTCCTTCACTAAACAATTTAGCAATACCAAAATCACTAAGATGAGCTACCATATCTTCATCCAATAAAACATTGTTTGGTTTCACATCACAATGAACAACTAGTGTTAAAGAACCATGATGAAGATACTCTAAAGCAACTGCCACATCAATCATTATGTTCAACCTTTGCAAGACATTTAAATAATAGTTATGAGAGTATAACCATTTGTCTAGACTCCCATTTTCCATGAATTCCATTATTAGAGATTTGAAATGATCATTTGAGCAGCAACTGATGACCTTAATGAGATTGCAATGGCGTAAATTGCACATGGTAGCACATTCAATATCAAAGCTTCTTAATGCTTTGTCCATTTCTAACTTAAATACTTTGATAGCAACTATTTTTGAGTTTGAAAGAGTTGCTTTGTATATTAATCCAAAACTTCCAGAGCCCAAAAGATTACTCTCATCAAATCCATTTGTTCCTTGCCAAAGCTCATAATAGGATATCCTAGTTGATGTCTCAAAATTTATTTAATCTCTATTGGTTGAATCATTAATATGATCTTTCTTACACTTTAGAAAGACAATGCCTAAAAGAACCAAAATGACAACCATGCATATGATAAGCAATGAGCACTTTATCACTAGCTTCAATTTATTTGACATGTGCTTGTGTTCTTTCCTACATGGGTGAACTTGTAATTGTGACTTCCCACAAAGATCACTATTCATTATAAAAGATTCAGTAGTGAAATTTTGAAAAGGCCCCCCACTTAGAATTTCTCCATGCAATAAATTATAAGAAACATTAATGTGTTGAAGATGGATTAATAACTCTAAGGATTTTGGAATCACACTAGACAAATAATTATAGGAAAGATCCAAAGATTTCATACTTATCATGCCACCAAGCGATTCAAGAATACTCCCTTGTAATTTGTTTGGGCCAATGATAGGGTTTGCAAAGTTTGCAGGCAACCCATGGTTGTAGGGATGCTTCCTGAAATTTGATTTCTTGACAAGTTCAATAGCATAATTGTTCTAAAGTTTGATACCTCTGGTGAAATTATTCCACTCAATGCATTGGAGGATATGTCTAAGACCAAGATATCTTTGAAACTCCAAAGAGAAGAGGGTATATGAGAAATCAATTTGTTAGAGCTCAAATCCAACTTCCGTAGAGAAGTTTTCCCAAGGCACCCTGGAACCACTCCATAAAACATGTTGTTGGCAAGATACAACTCACTTAGACTTTTGAGTTGGCAAAGTTCATTTATGATGGACCCATACAATCTATTGCTACCGAGGCTTAAACGTTGAAGACCATGTAATTTGTTAACTCTATCAGGAATTAACCTACTCAAATCATTCCCATGCAAATCTAATTCCATCAAGTTTGTTAAATGTCCAAGTACATTGGGTATAGCTCCACTAAATTTATTCAATGACAAATCCAACTTAATGAGCTTAGAAGCATTTGATATGTTACTTGGAATTTGTCCAATAAGTTCATTCTCTTTCAGTAATAATTCCCTCAAGTTGGGAATGCCAATTCCTGAATATGATGGGAGAGTGCCAGAGAGGAAATTACCACGAAGGTTCAAACGTGTCAACGTTGAAATGTTGAATATATTGGAAGGAATTGCTCCTTTCAAATGATTTTGGCTCAAGTCTAAGAGATTAAGGTTCTCAAGTTCACCAATGCCTCTAGGTACAAAACCTGGACACGAGAAAGTCGATGGAAATCATGTCTTTTACATTGATAGGATAAGATAATTAAAAAATAATTTTTTTTGTTTCTAAAATTTTTAAAATAAAAAAAATTAGGGAAATCACAAATTACCCTGGAGATGCCATGGTTATAAAAGATTTATTATAGAAATAAAATTTTTTATGTTGTAATTGTTCAATAACTTTTTAATAGGGAATAATAAATTTGTAAAATAAAAAAAATCAAAAATTAAATTAAACCGGGAAATGATGCATTGTTTAATAAAGGGAGAGAAAACATAGCGTTGAAGTTGATAGGAAAGCGACAAAATCTGCACGCGCATAATATATGGGCATGCTGTGATTAGAAGAAAGAGAAGTAGAAGAAAAATTGTATTTTCTCTTGCTCAGTTTGAAATTAATGAATTTGCAAGATAAAAAATTGGAAAAAATAGTGAAATAGATAAAGAATATAATCTTGTATAAGGAGCGAGGAAGAAAATGTAAAATTAAACTTATTAAGAGAAAGATAAAATCTTAAAAAGTTGTAGTCGCATAAAACACGTGAACCCATTATGTACGGTTAGAACTTAGAGATTTTTTTTTTTTAAAAAAATCATATTGAAATCCCATTCATGGATTCTAATTTTTTTATTAAAAAAAACCACATGAAATGTCTAAATGACTCCAAAATCTGAAAGACTTTAATTGTAATTAATTTTTAATGTTGATTTACGAAAATATCCTTATTCCTTCAAAGCCCCTCCAACTCCCGCCATAACTAAAACCATAGATTAATTTTTAATACTAGATTAATTTTTAATCTAGTATGTTCAAGAATAAGTCTAAAAATTATGTTAAATATAATAAAAATAATTTTAAGTAATACTCGTTTCAGCCACAGAAGATTTAATGAATTTGCAAGATAAAAGTATTGAAAAAATTAAAATGGATAATTTAAACAGATAAAGAATGTCTTCTTCAATAAGGGGAGAAAAAATATAAAATTAAAATTATTAAGAGACCCATAAAATTTTAGAACAAAAGTAATGGAATTTTAGATTTACTCCATTTCAATATGAATGAACAACAAGAAATTATGAATAAAATGATGAAAAACAAAATCCTATTTTAGATTCACTCCATTCAAAAAAGAGATTAAAAAAAATGGAAACATAAATATAAGTACACTATACATACTTGTAAATGAGTTACCACCCAAATACAATTCCTTTAAAGATGTGCAATTACTTATTGATTTTGGAATGCTTCCCTCTAATTGGTCAACATCAAAGGCTTCACGTAAAGGGAGTTGATGGCACAATTCTTCAAGCAAATTACCATTTAAATGATTCCCACTAAGGCTAACCTTTTTCAATGAAGACATGTTCCAAATAAATGAAGGAATTCTACCTAAACAAAGAGCAAAATGTTTGTTTGTTGTTAGTGCGCATAAGACTGGCAATTCCCCAAATTCTGACACAGTGATATAAATAATACATGGAAATTTGTTAATTCGAGGATTAACATTAATAGAAAAATATACAATAACCTTTTTGGCAACTCCCTCATGTAAAAATTAAATGGATTTTTGTAAGAGCCATGTGTGCTACAACTTTTCTTGACATAAAAATTCGAAGCTAGTTGTTAAGAAAAATGAATTGCATTAAAACGTATAAGTATACTATAATTTTTACTCTTAAAGTGGTTTCATAAAAAATTTGCTAACAATATAGAATAATAAACATAATAATAAATGAAAAGGTTTTTAAGGAATAAATGTAACGGATGAGCAGATTGAGAATACCTGTGAAGGAGTTGACCTGTAGATGTAATATTTCTAGCAACGTTTCATTGCTGGTTAGTATTGGAAGATTACCATTCAAATTGTTTATTGCTAAACCCACAATTCTTAGAGAAGAAACGTTGAAGAGAGACAATGAAATTTCACCTATTTCAATTTAAAAGTGAACAACTAAAATTACATTAAAGATAGAATAGTTACAAGACTCTAATCAACCATTTAGCACTAAATTGATCTTGGAGAAAATAAAAGCAAGATAATGACAAAATGAAACAAGAAAGTTATATGAGATTATATTAAATGATGGCCTTTTCTAGGAGTCAAAAAAATAATCTAACAATGATGAATATAATAAACACACACACATACATAAATATTTTCACTACGCCTTTCCCAATTAGATTATTTCTATCAATAGAGTTTGCAACCATCGCCAAAAAAAGAAAAACACACATAAGATTTCTTTCTTGTTGATTATAATATATTGATTGTCATAAGTAAAAATAAATAATAAAATGTCAATACTTTAATGTATAATTTGTACTGTCCATTACGTTGGATATGAGGCTAAATCAAATAATAATGTTTGTCATGAAAAATATTACCATATGTGTGTCTTTGTTTTTCGTATTTGTAAGGAATTAAATAATTCATAAAAACTACACACCCAAATGAAAAGTGTTGGGCAACATCTAAATAGTTTGATCGAAAAATTAAAAATTCTATTAATAGTGAATGTATATTAAAAAAATATTTCAATATTCATGAATGTGTATGAACATATCATGGATACAATTAAACTTAAAACATTTCATTTGATAAAAAAAAAAGTAAACATTCCAATTATCACTTGGAATATATGCTCTATTGAAGCCATAAATTTACCCGACAAATCATTTTTTTGCACATTAAATAATTCAAATTTTGTAATCCCAAAACACATATTTTTTAGGAGAATATCAAATAAATTTATATTTTTTAGAACATCATTGACATCTTGCTCACAGTGAGAAATAACACTAATGACCAATTACTTTTTAAAAGCGATGACCCCTAAGTGGCAGGATCAATAACCACAGAATAAATTAGTTTTCATGTATGGGATGCGAGTGTGTCTTTTAATGTGATTCATTGAGAAATTTAGATCAATTGTCTATATTTGTATATTAAAATGGAAAGAAAACTCCCTTTTAAAATGAAAATACAGGGGACCGAAAATGAGAAATAAAAGGAAAGAGAGAAGCATCAAAGCCCATGAGTCAATCTTTTCTATAATGTCTATAAGATATTGAGATTAGATTGTTATAGAGAAAACAAATAACCAAAATTAATCATTCTTAGAAGCTTATCACACATATGCTATAAAATCTTTTCAAATATATAATCTTTTAAAGATATCTAGTTACTTAGTTGCATTGAATGTTTTTCACAAATTGATTCAATATTTAGCTTCTCTATTTCAAGATTTTTTGTCCTTTAAAAAATTGTGCCCCCACCATTGCAGGAGTGTATGCTGTAAAAGAAAAAATTATATGAACATACAAAATGAACGAAATGATGAAAAGGAGAATTGTGCCCCTACCATAACATGAGTGTGTCATAGAAATATGCAATCGCACAACTACACACCTGTACACAAAATTTCCTCAAAAGCATCAAATTAAGGGAGTGACAGACCTCATGGCATGAATGACATGGCATTAATGGCAATGAAGCTTGAGCATAGTAATCATGAGCATGGTGATATGGAAGGAGCCCAAGACAAGGAGCAAGGAGCCCAATACTTCCAATTCAATGTACCTAAAGACCCATTACAACATATTGGAGGTCTAATGATAAGAGTCTAAACTAAAGC